ATGAATTAAACTTTTTTTTTAACAGAGTGGCCATTCTTATATAAATCCAAGTTCTTGTAAAGACACATTAACTATAGACATTGGAGCAGGGCAGGAGATACAAATTACCAGAAACAACCAAAAAAGATACAGATATGCGTCGTTCATGGCAACTGGAGATAACCTTAAAATACATTTCACATCGTGTTTTAGATACCTTATGTCAGAGAACATTATGTACCAACTAAAAATTGAATCAATAGGTAATATTTGATGTTTTAATATTTGATATTTGTTGTGAAATTTATTGTTGTTTCTCACCACCCATAATCCGGAATGACATTCTAATTATTGTCTCTGAAAGACTCCGCCCATATTAAAAATTTTAAAAGTCTCTACGTAACCCCCCCAAAAAAACGTACACTTAGCGAACGCCGAATTTGATTTTTACTATCGTTTTTTATTTCTTTATGCTTCTGGCGCACACATAATTATAACGTTACCGTAACAGAGAGAAAAAAGAACAACTAGAAATTTATATTTTCAGTCATGAATAAAAGTTTATTTAAATAAAAAAAATGCAGAAAGCGGTTTAAATTATTAAATTAATTCATCAGACGAACCCATATGTATGGTAACAATCCGATCGGTATTGTCTGAAAAATCGTCGTTGTTGGACTTTTCGCATGAAGAATTAATATCTTTTTCTTGGTTATTTTTCACACACAGGGCTCAAATTGATAAGGTCAATTGTCTTTGTAGTTTGTCAGTAATCGGGAAAAGTGCTGTCAATATCGTCCATAGTGTATCAACATCGTCCAGTTTCAGACATTTTCCCAGCTTGTAACCACTGACGTTAGCACGATCACGTGATCGTTATCTAGTTAAAAATTCATTCATTATGACAAGCGTTGGAATCTTTGACCTAAAAATGCCGATTGATCAGGGTTTGACCAGCAAAATTGTACAAAACATGTTTTAAGAACTATATTTATTTATTTATATAATAACAAAAAATTTTTAAAATCGTGTCACGTCTCCTTTAATAATTGACTACACTTATGTTTGTTTGTAATCGATTACAATTGATTACTTTATCAAAAGTAATTATATTACTTTCCGATTACTGTTAACTACATGCTCCAAAATAAAATAAAAAAAGATAACTTACGAAAGTTATATACAATTATGCTGCTCAACGTATTTATAGTTGAAATTTAGAACTTTACCAAAGGCATTGTTTCCAAATGTTATGTTTTAATCAAACAGTCGTTTATAGATGGAAGATCAAACCAAGAAACCAAACTAATAACGTCATTCTTTTCAACAACAAAGAGTGGCGATAAAGTTCCTGGAATGACTTGGACCATTGCACCAGCTACATCTTTTTTGGGGGTCATTTACTTCATAATTTACATAATTTATAGCGCACTGGCTTAATTTTTATTGGTTTTTTTCTCATTATTGACAGATATATTTGAAGTTTTAGATAATAATGTTCATAACTTTAAAATTGTTTGACGTTTCTTCTAAAAATGTTGAGTAATTTGTCTAGCTAACTTGATAGATGGTTACTTCAAATTAATTTAATGCATAGATTCATCTATTTGTTTGGATTTATCCTTAATTACAGGTGATACCGATGCCAATAGAGTAAATTGTATATCATACGGCAGTACACCAAAAATATGATACTAAGTTTGACATAATTGAAATCAAAACAAAGTCTGCATGAAATTCATTATAAGTCTTTGATAATCTGATCAATGAATCCAAGAAGGTAGTTGAGAATTCTGTATTCTGTATGCAAATTTATATACACTTTTTTTGTGTCAAAATGAGATACAAGTACATATACATATTCCTGATCGGGAATTACAATACATGAATTCATTGTTAAGATGACTGTGTATCCTTTCTTAATTCTTATGTCGTAACATTATTAATAATCAACGGTTTATCTATTCCAAACTAAAATTCAAACACATATTGATAATTATTCTTCAAGGAATTTAAATACAATTAAGCCATTTAATTCAAAATACATGATGTGTTCAGAATTTAATTTTGGCTATTTTCCTATTCTACCTCATAAATAAAGGTATTAAAATATTTTCAAGCATTGTAAGTCATTTGTTTTAAAAGCTTGAATACATTAAAAATTTGTGGGGAAATCTGGTTCAACATAAGGTAGATTTTTGACGATTACAGATTACTGTCGATTACTTGGGAAAATGATATGAATTACAATCGATTAAGATTACAGATTATCCCATCTCTGATTCAGACATCCTGGTCGCCGCTCTTTTAATGAATCGTCGTTATTGTTGTCGGTATTTCAAAAGAAAATAATATTAATAAATCTTCATCTCTGTTAATCAGTTACATTATAATCATCAAAAAGACCAAGACGATTATTTTCTTATTGCTTACTATTAGCATAGTACATTTTTCGAGTACGATGATATTAATTTTAATGGCAGAAAAGATACTTCGCCATAAACATAAATACTTCTATATTCTAACGTTGAAACACTCGCGTTGTCGTTTTGTTTTGATAAATGTCGTTGCATTTATTTCAACGATTTGTATGAAGACAAAACATATGACGTCAAACTGAGAATATTGTGCACAATAATAGTAGCCTCAGTCTAAAGGCATTCTGCATTGATGTCAATCTGGAAGTGATCTGCTAATTTTCATCAATAGGTAGACCTAGTAAAGAATATTGAAATTATTCATCAATGGAGATAAAATGGATTCTTGATATGAATTAGTTTTTTTTTGCTTTAAATATTGTGGTTGCTAGATTGTACTGGTCATCCAAAACAATCACCGATTCCTCCAATTCATATTTCAGACCTCTAATTCATACCCTCGTACTTTCACGGCGATTGAATGATAACTATGATAATAATTATGTGACTGTCTAGAATTGATTTATATCTTACAAATCGTACTAATGTTTCAAAGCTTTGACTTTGAGCCTCACTGATGAAGGTCAAATTCATATAAGCGCTTCTGAAGCAAGAAAGCGTTTTTTAATAATTTATAACTTTTCACAATTATCATGATATGGACAAGAAGTCGACCAAATTCTGTCGGTTTAACGATTATAATTAGATGTCCGATAAGAGAGAGATGTCTGCACAGATTTGCATGATAAATTATCAGGACAAAAGTTCCAGTAAAAACCACTAGCCATATACAATCAAGTGTTAATAAAATGTGAAAGAAAACTACCTTAAGGGTCGAATGACATTCTTATATTTTTGAAAAAGAGAAACTAATAACGCGTAAAGATAACTTATCGTGCGAATTGTCAAAATATTAGTCTGTCCTCATCATATGTGGAGGTCGCGCTAACATGTTTGTTTTCATATCTTTTGAGTATGATTTAGTTGGAATTGTGGCCGTAATGCAAAATAAAGACTCTTCAATCTGGTTTCGAAATTTACCTATATCTTTTACATGGCAAACGAGGAAAGAATCTATGTGATTTTCCATGTTTCTTTATGTTCGAAAAGTTCGAAATGCTAATGAAATAAAATGAAGCATTTGGCTTTTACATAGTTGATAAATGAATGATACAAAAAAATAAATGATTAAAATCAAAAATATACTGTATATGTATAATATATAAAACATAATATTCAAAGACGTTAAATATATCTAGACTGTTGGAAAGATCAAAATTATATTGCATTTTATAAGATTGTCGTCAATCGTCGGAAAAGGGGAAGCCTTTCTTTCTAGCTGAACACATTATGTTCCAACTCATGGATATGCTTAATTATGTGCAAACAGAGTTATTTGAAAATAAAATATTGAAAGAAATCCTTTGTGTGAATACAAAGTATCACATACGGCAGTTAATTAAATTCTTCTGTTTGTCATATATCCATCCATGTTTTTTCTCTACAAAGTAAAATAAAAATAATTATGTTATCAATTCATTCCATACAATTTCAGATTATCCTGGGTGCGGAGTGAACGCCAAAAGGTATGCGAAATGCACTGCGAAAAAGGCATATATAGCATCTTATCTATATCCATCGTTATATTCAGCTTCAGATACAAATATGTGGAAAATTAGAGGTCAGTATGGACAATATATCGAACTTCAGTTCATAGATCTTGATGTGAACATCATGTCGTTGGTTGATTCGTTTGTGGAAGTGTTTGACTTTGATCTCCGGGGAGAACGATCTGTATCTTTTGGACGATTCACCAAGGCTACAATGCCACATATAAGTTTGGTATCAAGTTGGCATATGATTGACGTAGAATTCCGTGTTGGAAATTCCTTAACCGGAAGGGGATTTTTGGGATTATATACGATAAAAGATACTGTCATTGAAACCATTTTCAATGAATCTGGTAAGATTTAATATAAGGCAGGTCTTACCTGTGAAAGGGGACGAAGTCTGTAGACTGTATACATTATTTTTTTGATTCAAGCATATTTTAACTTCAGAATCTGTTAAAAAAGAAACGGAAATACGGAAACGTTTCCGATGTTGGTCCATGTTAATAGGGATTTTTATGTGACGTCATTTTCGATTTAAACAAAGAAACGCTATCATCAGGTAACGGTTTTTTGTTTGTTCTTTTTTTTTTCATATCAACGAATTATCAAAAGCAACAAATTTACGGGAAACAGCTTGATGCTCCTTTTATATTTTAAAAGTCTCGTGACAACTTAGACCAGAAGAAAGAATGAGATATCTGCGAAAATGAGAGAAAACAAAAAAAGTTAGAATATTAAAAGTTAATGATTTCACAATGGCAGTTTTTATCAAATAGTTCGTTTCTATGTATGTTGGCGTTTGTTTTTGTTGCACCTCAGTGTTTCTGTTGTTCCTTTGTGTTCCTCTTATAGTTGATGTGTTTTCCTTGGTTTTAGTTTGTAACCCGGATTTGTTTTCTCTCAATTGATTTATGACTTTTGAACAGCGGTATACTACTATTGCCTTTATCTAAGTTCATTATTAGATTCTTTTTATATTGATTTTCAATAGACCACTTGCACATTGTTTGGTGATTAGTCGTACCGGAAGTACGTAACTTCGGAATTTCGAAATCTATATTGACTGAAACAAAAGGCGGGCAGAATTTCCAAATCCGCCATTGTAACTAGGGTAAATAAACGCATTTTAGATTGACGATGGTGAACAAGAATTGCATGTACGGGGTTTGTAAGAGTGACAGTAGGTACCCAGAGACACTCGCGGAGAAGGATGTGTACTTTATTCCGTTCCCAAAACCATTACGGAATAGAGTGAAGTGTGAAAGATGGATACGAGCTTGCGGACGACATGACTTGAACGTGGAAAAAGTGACAAAATACAGCTATATATGTTCACTTCACTTTGTAAGGGGAAACGGTCCGACTGAGGAATATCCGGATCCTATTCCTGCAGGAGCCTGTGAAGCTGAAAAGGAGAATTTCATGCTGCAGAACCGGAAAAGAAGGGCACCAATAGACCGTCCCAGCCTTGTGTGTAGGAAGGTGAAAAAAACAGGTACGAAATGTATATATAATTTAATATAATGCTTGTATTTTCTTTATAAAGGTTCATAATGTTTACATATTACCTTGTTTCAAATTTGACATGCTTGACATATCTACCAATGACACTTTTAACTTGAACATTCAGGTGCTGCATTTATACATGTTTATGTACTCATGGTACTAGGAAATGCTGTGTGAAATAATGCAGGCGCTGTCAAAAAACAGTTTCATATTTTATACATTTTACTGTTCAACTTACAATCTTATAGAAATGTCAATTTGTATGAACAAGGCTATAAGGCCAATGAATATTGACTGCCCAAATAGCATACATGTAGTTGCAGAATAAAATCCATGACGACTTGCCACAATGCCCAATCACAAAAAATTTGCTTTACTGATGAAAAAGGCAATTCAACCCGCCCAAAGACATACACAAATAAAACAGAAATTGTATATCTCACTCTATGTACATTTATATAGATCTACCAGTTTGTCCAAATATAGTATTCACGAACAGAAAATATATGCATGATACAATGTATGTACATGTATGTTAGAAATATCTTAAGCATGTTGTGCAGTCTGCATCAAAATGTTATCTGATTACTAGTTCAAAGACCAATATTCCCACATTTTCCCTATGTGTCTAAACAAACTTTAACAACAACTTAATTACTAGTCTGGGGCATCAGACTAGTCGTTAACAGTACAGACTGTTGTGAAAAGCACATATTTAAATCCACAACATTTCCCTATATTCATGTCAAATATTACATGTAGATGTGGCGTGCAGTTAAAAGAAAAATGTCTATCAACATGATAAACTGTCTATTTTTTGCATGTGTAATGTTTGATACAATAAAGCATTTCATAATTTCAGGAAAATCAGCTGATCAGAGAACAGTAGACCTAGATCACTCTTATTGTATAGTTCATGTTCCAGGTAAAATCTTTTAAAACATGTATATTTAGAAAAACGTCATCCTCAGTCAATATATCCTAAAATGTAAATTATACACCTCATACAAAGGCTACAATTGATATATTATCAATTTCCGAACATATTTGTATCAAAATTGTCAGCACATTACAGTGTCTTTTTAAAATCATATAATTTTGTTGGAATAACTTCATTTTTATAGATTTCATATTTTATCTTGAACAACAACATATTGGTTGTTATTTCAATTATTTTGAATGTTTTTTTTTTGTTATTGCTTACATGTATGTATTTGAAATTTTCCAGATTATATTTTTTTTAAATAATTGATCATGAAAAAGTACAATATCGAAAATCTTTTAACCATATCATGAAGTTCATAAGTTGATAATTCTTATATGATTTGCATATTACGGAATACATTGATATAATTGGTCGAGAGGACTTCCGGTAGTTGATCTTGACGTTGTTTATTTTTCGATAGACGACGTTGACCAAACTTCTTTTCGTAAACAAGATGGCGGCTATAATAACACCGATATTAACAAAATTATTTTCACTGCACGTTAATCGTTAAATTAAATAATAAACACAAAATCATTCGTTGGAATGATAATAAGAGTTTTTGTAGTTTATTTTTTAATCAGATAGCAAATTTCGTGGAGTACATATTTTTGCGTTAACCAACAAATATATTCATACGCCAGGCCTATTCAAGGACACAAATATACAATTTACGTGTGATAAAGGTTACGAGTGTGGAAAAATATATTCCTTATCTCCAATTTTAAAGAATTATAAGGATTAAACGCCTTTTTAAAGGAATTTATTGGTGTATAAACTGGACCAAGTCACTCACAAACATATCATAACAGTCCTTCAGACTTTTAATTGTTTGTGAGTGAATTGGTCAAGTTTATACACCAATAAATTCCTTTAAAAAGGCGTTTAATCCTATAACATCACACAAAGTAAAAATAACGGTCAGTACTATCATTTTTTACCCGCCATTTAGGATCCACCTTGTAAAATTTAGTTTTGAATGTGACTATTCCTGGACAAATCAAATTGGTAAAAATCTGTAAATTTATTTAGTATATAGGTAGGTGAACTCCAGATAAACAAATATAATTAAAAGTGTCTTTTTTCTTTTTGTTGACAAGTTTTCTTTAGATTATTTATCTGGCTGAAATTATAATTTAATGTAGATTTTTTTTCTGAGCATCTGTGTTGGGCAAGTTGCAAAAATATTTTTTTTTTGCTTAATACATGTAGAAAATAGTTTACCAAGTACATGAAATATCTTGCAATATACAACAAAATCATCTAAAACTTTAAATTTATAGATGAAAGTATAAAAAAAGCATTAAGTGTGTATTTCAAAAAATAAAATCATTTTAAATATGAAGGGAAGATAATTTTATTAATTTATGATAGATAATGGATTTCATTAAATAATTTTAGATTTTGAAGCAGAGATTGAACTAGGGCCTGGAGACGAAGGGAAGGTACAAGATGACATTGACACCACTATCTTTACTGCTACTCCTCTACCTGTGGAAACAACAGGTAAATTAATATATTTATGACTGGACATAGGAGCTGTATGTTTATAAATGGACTGGAGGATATGTGGGAAGGTGTGAAGTTACAAATTTTATACATCAACCTTGGCAATCAAATGAAATAAATCAAGTAGTGCAGCACTGTTCTATTTCTGGATTTAAACATATCATAATCTAATAAGTGTCTTATATTAGAATGTTCCTTATTAGTCCCCTTCCGACGAAGTTGAAGGGGATTTTAGGTTTGCACTCCGTCCGTCAGTCCGGCAAATCAGTTTTCCACACTTTTTTTCTTCATGCTTGAAGGTATTGATTTGATATTTGGTGTATTGTTTTATCATGACAAGTTACAGATCAAGTTCGAATTTTGTTCCGGTCTGATGATTTTGTGCAGAGTTATCGTCCTTTGACTTAGAAAATTCACTAAAATAATCAGTTTTCTGCACTTTTTTCCGTCATGCTTTAAGATATTGATTTGAAAATTGGTATATAGTTTTATCATGACAAGTTACAGATCAAGTTGGAATTTTGTTCCGGTCAAATGATTTTGTGCAGAGTTATGGTCCTTGGACTTAATAAATTCACTTAAATAATCAGTTTTCAACACTTTTTTCGTCATGCTTGAAGATATTGACTTGATATTTGTTATATAGGTTACACCATGACAAGTTATAGATCAGGTTAGAATTTTGTTCCAATACAATGAATTTTTAACCGGTAGGGGACTATGTATTGCCATGCAATACTCACAGAATGCTTGTTGCAGTGAATTTGTATAGCCACATTAATGTACAAAAATGTACTTTGAAACAAATGTTTTATTTTGAGATTTTTTAGTTTTTTACTTAACTAGTAAAATAATAATCACTTTATATTGTTATTTTGAGATTTTTTACTTTGATCTATTTGCAGAATGTAATTTTCCATTAGTAAAGGGGCATAACTCTAGAATAGTTTAAGTGACACCACCAAAATTCAAACTTGATCTTTGTTTTGTGGTAAAAAGCATTTTGTATAAGTTTCATAATGTTTGGTTGAGGCAAACTAAAGTTAGAGCTCTAACGGAAAACAACTTGGGGACAAACTCACGGACAAGGGTAAAACTTAATGCCCCCATATGCTACAGCGGGGGCATAAAATTTGGAAAAATTATTTTTAATCCAATAATCAATGTTTCAATTGGCAGCATTCATCTGACCATGACCTCATTTTCTTGGTTCATTGGTTTTGGACAAGAACATGAAAAAAACAAATAAATTCCTTTCAAAATTTAAATATAGGGTTGGATAGAGGAAAGAAGTGTTATTTATACGTGTATTTATATTTGAACTGAAATTGCAGATTCAGGATCTCAGACTTACCATCCAACTTATTCTGGCAGCAGTACAAATGTCAACTTGAAGACCATGAGAAGACAGTTATTTGTTTTAGATGTGGAAAAGAAGCCTAAAGCCTATACAGGTATTTAAAAGGTCTCCGTATTATAAATATAAGATTGGATTGAATTAAAGCATGGTGTATTATTCTTAATTTAAAAAGATTGGTCTATTTAATATATGTAGACTTTTCGAATATTTTTTAGAGATTTAAAAAAAAAAGGATTAACTATAATCAAATTTAGATGTAAAATTAAGATCAATTGAAATTGTTGCATTAACACATTATCATTTTTTACAGCCTCATTGTTGTAAATTTACAGGAATGACACTGGATGTCTTGAAACTTGTTTTTAGTCATGTAGAGTTGAAGGCTTCTAGGATGAAGTATTGGTATGGGTCATCTAGGGTTGATGACAGCTTCGACGATACAGAGAATGATGTCAGTGGACAAGTGAGTTATCTGTCTCATAATTCACTTTAGTTTAAACCTTACCTATATTTTATTCAAATCCTAGACATCAATAGAAAGATTTCCTCGGACAGATCTGTTCTTTTTGATGGATTTTGAGCACTTATTCAAGCAATGGCCAGTGTTAATACTTTATATGAAAAATCAACACATGGTCATTTCTCAAAAACGTGTCTCTTCATTGATTCACATCCCCCTACAAGGTTTTCATTATTACCTGTTAAAACATGAAAAATGTAACAATAAATATTTTTTGTTTTGCATCAAAGTTTTATATATCAAGCATTGTTTACAACGTCCACTGGTTTTATTAGTGGATACACTGTTGGAACAGCGCCCCCTAGCGACTTGGCATAATGATTTTGTAAAAACTGATTTTTGTTCTTACTGATGGTACCATGAAATTGTGATCAAATCAACTGAATATTTTTTACAATGGTATTCATTATATAACTTTTTAAAATAAATTACCAATGATGAAAAGTAACAGTTTTCAGGGTTTACTGAACATTACAATTTATTTGAAAAAATATCACGTGTATCTTTATGCCAAGTCATGAGCAGAACTCGTGTAAACATACCCTACTATTATTACATATAAGACTAAGGACCATGTCAACTGGTTGTTTTAAATTAGAAAGGCAGATAAAAGCAAAGATTAAAATTATGAAAAATAGCCATATTATATGCATTTACAGAAATTTTCTGTGGAAACAAACAAAAATTCATCTCATATGTTATGATTAAATTAACATTCCTTGTGAAATAGTTCCAGAAAATAGTACATGTAATCTTAAACATGTCAGTTGGGCTTTTAATAATATTATTTAGAATGCCATATTCCATATGTTTATTAGATATTTTGCCCCTGGCTTTAACATGTTAAATCTCATAAGCCAGAAAAATGATGAAAATCAACAAAAATAAGTAATAAACAATACAAAATTAACAAATCTCATTATTGGACAATTGATGTATAAAGTCTTTTCTTGGATTTTTTTTTAACAGAAAAGGGGAGCATTAAGGGAGTTAAAACTTTGGGAAGAGTACCTGATGAGCCTTGTACGACTGAGGAAGGGATTGGACACAGATGTTTTAGCAGATATGTTGTGTATAAGTTCTTCAACTGTTTCCAGGATCTTTACCACATGGATTGTGTTTTTGCGGAAGGAACTGGATTTTCTTATCAAGTGGCCCACTAAAGAACAAATAAAGGAAAATATGCCAAAATCTTTTAAGTATTTCCCTAAAACCAGAGTAGTTATAGATTGTACTGAATTTTTTGTTCAAAAACCCTCATTACCTTCTGCCCAGAGAATCACTTGGTCAAGTTATAAGCATAATAATACATTAAAACTTCTGGTAGGTATAACACCAAGTGGTTCATTCTGTTTCTTGTCAAAGTTGTGGTCAGGGGCAGTTTCAGACCGCAGGATTACACAAGCATCTGGGTTCTTGGAAATGTTGGAGTTTGGCGATGAGGTTATGGCTGACCGTGGATTCACCATAAGTGATCTCTTGGCTTTAAAGGGTGCAACTCTTGCAATTCCACCTTTTGCAAATGGCAGACAGCTGAGCAGTAGAGCAGTTACAAGGACAAGGCGTATTGCAAATGCACGAATCCATGTAGAACGAGCTATAGGAGATATCAAATCTTTTCAGCTACTACAGGGCACATTGCCTCTTACTCTTAAACCCATCCTTGATGATATTATTTTTGTTTGTGGTGCTTTGTGTAACTTGCGGTCTAAACTTGTGAAGTAAGAACTCTTCATTTTTACCATCTTTAAATATAATTTAGGTATTTCATGGCCAAAAACAGCTCTCACTTAAATAAAACAGTTAAGATTATCACTATTTCTGCAAGTTGAAGACACAATGGACAAATAAATTTGCATGTTCAGAGGGGACAGACAACACTTTGTCTAAAACAAAATTAAACAAATAAAGAACAAGAACATTTTTTTTAAATACTTACCTATCCTGAAAAACAATAGCATTATTAAGAATACACCCTCAACACTATCAGAAAGGTGCTCTTAGATGGTAAACATTTCTGCTTTAATCTCCAGCTAACCTTTTTCTGATAAGATTACTAGTGGAAAGTGATATCAGTACAAATAAACACTTTAAGGTAGTTCAGGGGTATAGAAAAAAAATGACAGAATTTTCTTATACTTTGCCAAAATGAAGATTTTACTATGCTCTTTTCAAAAAAATTATAAAAAGTATGGGTCACCTTGTTTTCTTGCTACAAGTAAATAAACAGTTTTAATCTGATTTTCACCAAAAAGTATACAGATCGTTTGACCATCATAAGAAACAACTTTGTTAAGTTTCATGAAATTTGGATAAGTCGTTCTCAAGTTACGGTGCGACATGTTTACCCCAGACAGCCGCACATTTGTATACCATAATACGCCCAGTCAAAATTTTGACGGGTAAAAAAATGAAATTTCTCTATATGTCCAGTATAAATTATGTACTAAAAGAGTTATCTCCCCTTAAATGGCTTATTTGAATAATTAGTTCTAAAAGCACAAACATTTGGTATTTGTTAAAATATTTTAGCTAATGAAATGCATAACTAAGTTTTCTTAATATAAAAAAAACAGTGTAACCAATAAATTGCAAATTTGGGCAACAAAAAAAAAACCGATTATTTACTGTGATTGTACTATTCAAGATGGTGGTATACCCCTGAACTACCTTAAATCACCTAAGTCATACCAAAACTTGAGGTTTACTGTCTCAAAACCTACAAAAACCAGTATTTTAGAATAAGTACAAAGTATTGCATATGAAGTTAATGAGCTGTGTTATATTTGTCAATGAGTCAGTTGTTAATACAAATTCAAATGAAGTAAATATAACCAACTATACATGTATGGCACTGTATAGTTGTTGATTTACCAAAAACAAGATTTAGGAAAAAAATTATCAGATCCGGACATTACACAATTATGAGCGAAAGCAACCAATGAAAACAATAAAGTTAACATCCAATTTTATAGAACAATGCATAGGTATCATTAAAAATGTGCTGAATTTTCAATATATGTCGGTATGTGTATTAATTTTGTTAAATTTCATATTTACTATTAAACCTCCATTCGTCGGCAAAAGGGTTAAACAATATTAATTTAATTGGGTCAAGTGTGTATATCTGAATCGTTATGATTTCTCTACTTGGATTTAAAAATTTTAGGATTAATTCAAAAAGTAAATTTGGTACATTCTTAGCTAATTAAAAAAGGCATCAACCGAACAAGCTTGACAGTAAATTAAAGGATGTAACAGGGTAAACATAAATGAAGCATCAACCCAACAAACATAATTAGATAAACATGAATGAAAAGGGACACATGTTAAACCTCAATGAGGCATCAAACCGACAACAAAATTAATACAACTTAGTTTTAAGGGCATATGATACAGTTTTGATTCCATGATGAATGTTTTATGAAAATTTGGATACAAGCTATTTTTCACCTAAGCAATTTAAATATGTCAGAAAAAAATATACCTTCATGTGCTACTTTAAGAGACAAAAGGGGTAAAAATTTAGACATTTTCTCAAAAACCAGATAAACAATAGCAGCTTTTTGTAAAACATTACGAAAATCTTTAAATAAATATGCTCTTAATAAGTACAACAGTTCCTTGGAAATAATTAATTCAGATTTTAGGGAAAAAATGGATTTTTTTGCAGTATATTTATCAAATCTAAAAAAAATGAATGTTGACTTTTCATTTAAATTGGTACAAATAATCTTCATACGTAATCAAACCGAATGAATATGCCATTGTAAAAAAGAGGGGCCTTTCTACTCATTTCCAAGTTAAGGTAGATAGGGGGTCTAAATTAAAATCCATAGAATTTTTTGATAATTTGTCAAAAGGCAGTTCATATCATGCTTTTTCCAAAAATATAATAAAAAGTATGGGTCACCGGGCTTTTTTTCACGCTACAGGTAGTGCAAAATTTTCAGATTTTGTATAGATTATGCATGGAAAACCCAATTTTGTGTGATAAAAAGAAAACTACACCATAGAATTTTAAGATAAAATATGAGAAGATAGCTCTTATAATATGCTTTCAGATAAGAAAAAGAAAAAATGAGGTCACCGGACTCGTTTTCTTGCTACATAATAAAATAGGTAAATTCACAACACATTCTATTATAAAAGTTACTTTATCTGAGTTATCTCCCCTTATATGGCAAAGTTGGAAAAAAAATGAATCAAACAAAAATATTCTGTTTTTTGTAAAATACAGCCGTAAATATGATAAAACACATAATATTTTATATTAACGTGAAAAGTCTTACACATGAATTACATACTACTCTCGAAATTTGCACATTTCTTTAAAGATCTAGACCGATTGTTATCTGCTATTTCAAAATACAAGATGGAGGAAGAAAACCTAGCTACCTTAAGTCAGTTTAAATCATAAAAAAAACAGTTGAATCTGCATCTTTTCCCGATATGTCACAGTTTAACGTCGCAAAAATAACATTTTACGTTAGCAAAGTCATTACCTCCCCTGTAACTGTATCATATGCCCTTCATGTCAGTATGCAGTATCATCAGTAGACATGGGTGTATTAAAAATTACAATCTTTTACAAGGTTTTAAAAATATCATTGTAGAATATCAGTTGTAATAGGTTATAATAAAAAGCCTTTGGTGAGTGAAAATTTCTCCAGTTCTATTTGTTTGTTTTATATAGTTTGAAATTTTTGATGTTGATGACAAAGCCAGGACAAGCACATGGTTCTTCCTGAATATTCATGAAACAATTACCATTGAAAATTTAACATACTAGACTGTTATAAAAGCAGGAATTACTCTTAATTAGGCAAGATAGAAATCACACATAGTCTGAAAACTGGTCAGTGCTTTCAAAAATTTGGAAGAAATCTATTGAAAATTGTTAAAAATATACTAAAATACATAAATTCATACATCTAGCTAAGTGAACCCACCACCCAGAAGAAAATTAATCTTTTGCTTGATATTAATTGTTTAAGTACCAATAACCATTATTTTGAGTTGTATAGTATTTTGGAATGAAAAAAATTTAATAGATATCAAACTAATATTTAGTAATGACTTATAGATTCAAATATATAAGAAAATATTTAAAGTACCCATTGACCAAATTTTAGAAGACTTATTTTTATTAGTTGTCTTTACTCACTATTTCTAGAAGAAATGGTGCAATATAATCTGTAAAGAAGTTTTGCAGTTTCACCAGCATTCTGTTAAAAAAATCTTCATCAAAGCTGACTTCTACATGTTCTATTCCATGTTTGGTGTAGAATACCAAATCACACTTTCTCATCTCCATAATTCCCATTTGTCCTTGCACTTGACAATAATACTGTGAAGAAAAATCAATTTGACCATCAGAATTAGTTTTCATGTGTAATACAGATTTAGCAGATTTGTTTCTTAGTGAAAACGGACACTTAATTTCAATAATCTTACTCTCATGGCATTTACAAGTGATCACTCCATCTGGACTGCAACCTATACATGGATACTTCGGATTTACCACCAAACCAGTTTCAGTTATACATTTATTCCTTTTCAATCCATGAGCTGTTTGGTATAGGTTCCTGGCTTTTGATTCCTTGCGTCTACCCCAGTCTAAGGCCATTTCTTGGAATTTATTCTTTACAGAAAGTGATTCACTACCTATAATTCGGCTGCAAATAAGATCTGGGTCCTCATTATTCATTATAGCCTGAAAGTTAGAAGCAGTAATTAAACCTTTCCTCATAGTGAACCATAAATTGTTGCTACTCTGGCCCTGAGTTGCCTTTGATATAAGCATCACATCTTCTGAACTGAATGATAAGGTAGCCATAAATCTTTCAACTATGTCCTCTTCATTATCAATTAAACATACATACTTATCTTTAAAATACTTAGCCTTGGTAGGAATTGTCAAGTCCTGTATTGCCTCTGAATAGTCCATCTGTACCACATCTACTGGTTCATGGGGTAGAAATTCTAGTGCTCTGGCCTCAGGATTTATCTTTTTAAAAAATCACTTGAATTAACCAAAGCATTAATTATATATATATTTTACAGGAAAAAAATAACATCGTTGATTTAAGAATTTGAAGAAAAATATTAACTGAGAATCTGCTGGACAATGGTACAAGATATAATGTATAATTTTTATGTGAATTTGGCATTTTAATGATTTCTATATATGATGAATTTTCTTAAAAGTAAGTTGTGAAAAATTTGAAAAAGATAATTAAATATGAAAAATTTACACAATGTTTGAGGGTGTGTTCTTACTAATGCTATTTTTTTCAGAGTTGGTAAGTAATAAGAAATGGATTTGTTGATATTTTTTGTTTTTTGTTTATAATTTTAACTTTTACCTTTACTGGCTTTGTGGTGTTTTGTTAAAGCCAGGAGCAGAACTTCATTTTTTTATAAACTGTCTTAAAAACCTTTTAAATTAGTTTTGAAATTGGTGAATTGATTGCAAAATCCTATCAATGATAAACTTGAAAAAAATTCAAAGCATAAATTTCACAAACTAAATTGTTACCTTTTCTATACTAATTTTTTTAGGAATAAGAATTAATGTTGTTTAAAGTCGTAAATTAAAAAGGTTACACATGGTGCATATATATATATATGTACTGCAGTGCAAAAATTTTAAAAAATACTGATATTGCATTGAATATTTAAGAACACTAATGCAGTATTAAATAAAGCTTTCACTGTTAATAAAAATTAATTATAATATGAGTAGTATTTAAGCATTAAAGTGTGTTATATTGTTTCAAAAATGTCTTGCACAGAAATAATTATTTTGATTAATTTTTTGCTGTTAATATTTTTGAATTTGTAAATGTTACTGTCCAATTTTGTCAGTCCTTTAACTTTTCAAGAATAGTTGGTGTATGTTATAACTATGCACCATGTGTAAGCACCATGATACCTATTTGTAATGGACACGAGTTCTGCTCAAGACTTCATTTTGAGGTTTAAAAATTAAATATAATAAAGATATCTGTACAATATGATTTCAAACCTCAAGAGGAGTCGCTAGAGGGCGCTGTACTTGAATGTATAGTGTATCTACCAATAAAACCGGTGGGCGTGTTGTTAAATTATTTGTTGTTATACCTGAGCTAATTTACTTGCAAACTGTTTTATCTTCTCGTCTTCTGCAGCTCTGTCAACCATCTGTCTAGGATCAAAACTGGATACTACATGGTCTGCTGATGATACACATGCTTCCATCCTCCTATTTTGGGATATTACAATATTTAAATGTATTTATTGGTAAAGCATTAAATGTTGGCATTGTATGTATTTAGGATTTCAAGGTTTTCAGTAGTGACAAGAAACTTCAAGAAGCGACAAGAAGAATATTTTAGCGCCAAGAAGACTATTTAGCGACAAGAAAAATGAAAACAAAGTTCTTATTAAAATAACTTATTCCTAATAAATATATAAAAAAAATTTGCATTGAAATGTTGTTTTTTTAGATTCGAGGCCAGATGTCGATCTGTGTGTAACATATATATATATGATATACATGTATTTATCATATATTTAGTACAAAATACAGCAATTTTGTATATCTAATAAAGGTTCTTTTATTCTATATATACTTAATACTGTAATATATGAGGGAAATCTAGAATATTTTTATTTATTTTTGCATTTTACCAGTGCTAAAGATAAAAATGATTAAGTTAAAACCTTGGCTTGATAATCTTCATTCGTTCCACCTCTACTGGCTCATCGTGTTCCCTCTTTCGTTTCTTCCACTGGCAAGGACCGTCAGTAACAGACTTCTTCTCAAATGCCTCCAACTCGTATAAGCATGCTGCAACATGACGACAAGCTCCATCAGCACTGTAATAAAATTGTATTTAGAGAAAGTTAGTACATGCATACATGTTCATTTGTGAAATGATCTGTATAATACTAATATCTTTATAGATTTTTACGGTTTACTAAACATGAGTGTTTTAGATTGCAAGTCATCAAATTACATCAGCAGAATTGTTAACTTCTACCTGCCAAATACTGGACACAGAAGCTAGAAAACCAACCTTGAGTTTTGACTTTAATAGCAGTGAATTATTACCTCATCACCCTGCACTTGAGGATGTCATACAAATGTACTTACAAACTAGTTTAACCCCACCACATTGTGTATGTGCATGTCCCAAGTCAGGAATCTGTAATAAAAGGGTCATTGTTTGTTGAAATATTTCATATTTGTTTTTCTTTCATTATTTTGTACATAAATCAGACCATTAGCTTTTTTTTTGGATTGTTTTACATTTGTCATTTCAAAATTTTTATAGCTGACTATTCCCTATGGGTTTTTCTCATTGTTGAAGATTGTACGGTTATCTACAGATGTTAATTTCCCTGTCATTTTGTCACTTGTGGAGAGTTGTTTCATTGGAAATCATACCACATCTTCTTATTTTCATATTACAATAGGAACTATAGTGGGTCTAGAATTTGTCAAATATAATATTTTTATATTTACCCTCCTGGACATTCACAGTAAGCTGCTTTAACATCACCTAGAGTCTTCTCAACAACAAACCAGCACTGGTAGGTCATCTTCCCAGTCAACGTCTTTGCCCTCTGTGTTGGCCTCACCTTTCCAATAAAAACACAAACTGAGCTGTCATCTTTTAAGTAGTTGACTTTCATTTCCTGGACATGTCCATCGTAAAACAAGCGGTAGTCCTCTGCACTCTTATAAGCTTTCAACTTCTTTTTATCGTAATCCGAACGGTGCAACAACAAATAATTGAAAATGTCATACAAGGAAAAGTCAGGTACACCAGAAAAATCTTCAACATATCTGAAAAAATAAAAGGTTTTCAAATTAACACTACAGAATACATTGCTGGTATGAAATTAACAGATTATTCTAGTAAGACATGTATAATAGTAAGGTGAAAAATACTGATTGGGAATATGAGCCCTTGCCAGTACATGCAGTTCAGACAGTTGAAAGTTATATATACTTATACATATGAAAATGCATAAAGTATTTTCTAAGATATATTATAGTACATGTACAACAAAATGTTAAGTAGATCTTAATCTATATACTTACATAAATTTGTTGGACTTGAAATAAAAAGAAAATCAATGTGGAAAAATTATGATAATTGTGATAATATCCGCTTAATTCTTGCAATTCAAAAGTTTACTCATACAATGACTTTATTTCATTAAACCCTAAAACTCTTAAGTTTTTGGCAGTTAATATTTATATTAAAGCATACTTGGTATATTATTGATCAAGTAAAATTGTATAAAATAAAGTTAATAGCTACATGTTTTGAATGACTAAATTTTAGGGGCCATGGGCTATCCCTTTAATTATAATGTAAAATTGCTATAAATGGATATTCTTTTGAACTGAGTCTATTTACTTCTAATGGAAAAAGTTTATAGAAAATTGAACAGTTATTGTCATATTATTATTTTTTAAAAAGTTTAAAGTCTTAAAGGTTTTCAATATTTAGAAGTTGGCATACATGTAGGGATGTATCTTCTTAGGGAGCTACCATTTGATAGTTAAGGGGGTGGGGTGAAAAATTTTGTCCTGCATTTTTTTTAAATTGTAATCTCTGTCCTGCTTTTTTATTTTTCACTCTATACGGTACTGCCCTTTATTTTTTACATGAATTGTCATATCCTGCCTTTTTTTTTTGCAAAGTGCCTCAACCCGCCTTTTTTTTACTCAAAACTTCTGTCATGCCTATTTTTTTTCAAATTTCATCCTAGCCTAGCCCCCCACCCAAAGTGAAATGTAGCTCCCTTAATAAAATTGTTTTGGACTGACATGAATAATCATATTTTTGAAAAAATGCTGAAATAATATGAGTTTTAAAAATGATTTCATTATACTGTTAGAAAAATATATTTTAGTAATTGGCTTCAGACACACAGGTAAGGAAGAATGACCCTTCTTTTACTTTAGGGATCCCAGTACTTAAGGGTTATATATGGTTTATTTATGGTTAGGGTTACAACTAGGTTTTAAGGTTAAGACAGAGGTTGGTTTTATGGATGGGACTAGTGATATGGCATGTATGGTAGAGTTGGACTTGTGGCTATGGTTGGGTTAGGTAAGGGTTAAGTTTAAGGGATGTGACCAACATGTGCTATGTATGGTTTGGTAAGGGAGCTACCATTTGATTTTTATGGGGGGGCTAGGATGAAAAATATTGTCCTGCTTTTTTATTTTTCCCTCTATTCGGTCCTGCTTTTTGATTTTTTTGCTATGCTATATATGGTTGGGGTACATGGCCCTGTGTGTAAGGATTAGGTTTAACCTATTTTCAGTGGTTATTGGTACTTTTAACTTTTGGGTTAGGGTTGAAAATAGGTTCTAAGGGTTAGCTTCTAGGGAAGACAGTGTTATGTTCAGGTTATGGGTTAGGTAAATCATGAAAAAAAAACTTACGGTTTAGGGTTCATTTATGGTCAATATTGTTAGCATATATGTGATGTTCTAGGTTAAAGTAAGGTTTTATATTTAGGGCTACTGTCAGGGTAAGGTATGGGTTTGGGTAAAGTTTAGTTGAGCATATTTTTATATAGGTTGGGAGCCCGTAAATTAAAAGAAGGCCGAAAATATGACTTTCTGACTTATTTTGACTGTATAACTCATTCAAACGACAAGGGATCTAATAAAAAATTTAAGTTAGGTAAAGGTACGAATTTTGATTAATTTTATGGCAAGTTTAGTATGGGCATACATATTCTACGTGGATAGCCACGCGTTGGGACCCCCTTAGTAAAAAACGGTCAAAAACCGGTTTAAATAAGTATGCAGAGGAGGGTAAAAGCCATAGAAATGAATGGAAAATTATCTTAATTACCCTTCTAAGGTAAGCGGGTCTGAAAAACTACAACCGGCTCTTCTCAGGCGATCTTGTAGGGTAGAGTCGACGTCGTCTGCTAGAAAATTGGGATCATACGGAATCTTCAATTTTTCCACCGCCTCAGCTAAACTGGCCAAATCTCTCTGTTTATAACCATTTGCCACTATTCCTCTATCTCGTAAATACAGCTGAATCTTTGAAATTGTCAATGATTTAAAAGATAACATCGTGATTGTAATAGAATAGCAGAATGAAACAATTTGTTTTGTGGAATCGCTATGGTAAACAAGCAAAAACTGTGACGTATTTTGCCCCACCTATTTACGGTCGATATATTTTGCAGATTTGAAAGCGAAACGCCAATTAATGTGCAAGTGGTCTATTGAAAAAAATAAAATATTCGTACGTTCATTAGCCCAATTCTTTGTTCGTTTGTTCGACTTTATTTTAGTGTCAATTACTTTTGTTTTAAAGCTCGCGTCTACAACACATTTTATGAAAGTTAGTAAGTTGATAAATGTCTCTCTCTGTAAGAGAGTTTTAGATATTTAAGAATCTTACAAGTTCACCAATGGTGGAACAACGCAAAGCAGTATGACAATATTTTGATTGTCACAGTCCAAACAGTTTGTGACATCAACAAAGACAACAAAATATTTGACATCAACACCAAATGTTTAACTTGATAATTACTAAGACAGCGTAACCGGTCAAAACTAACTCCAGCTTTAGAGTATGCTAACGATGTGAACAAGTTTTCTAAACATTCAATTCTGCTTTGATGTGTTCCCAGATCGAATATGCGCGTTAAAAAAAAAATAAAAATAAAAATAAAAGTAATTGATTTATGTTGGTTTTTTTTAATTTTTCCTACGACGGAAAATAAAAACAATGGTATATACCAAAGAATAGTACTAAAAATACTAAAAACAAGCCCACAGCACAATGCCTGCTGATATATCTAAATTCTAACGTTTGTCTTTATATTTTTCATTTGAATTCATGCTGCAACATGAACAAATCACAAAAGAAAGAAAAACACGAAGTGGTGTGATGCTCAAAATAAATTTATACAGTAATTCCGAAAAGAAAACATACATCCTATCAAAAAAGTCAACAATCCACACTCTTAAATCCAAACTGATGGATGTGATGGTGGGAAAGAAAGAAAAGAATCATTTCCGGATCAGTAATTGTATTATACTAACATAAAATTAAAAAAACCAGCAAACTTATCTTTATCGAATCGTAATTTTTACCATAAAAACAATTGATGATAAATTAGTATTTCTATAATGCTTGCAAGTAGTTTCATCTTCCAAATTAATCACTATATTTGTGATAACGCTTTAGCCCGTTTAGGTGGTACTCATTCTTAAAATGTTTTTCTCTTTTTTTTTTAGATTGTGCTGCAACGTGGGCTAACTTAAGAACAAGTTGTTATAAGCTGTTTTACAGCAATCATACGAATCAGCAACAGGCAGAAATGGCATGTGTGAGAGAAGGTGGTCACCTTGTCAGTGTCAATTCGGAAGAGGAAATGACATTTGTTCATCAGCTGTTGTTTACAATATCTGAAGCTGGACGTGCTGACCAAGTTTATATAGGCAAGTTTACTTTGGCCTAAATATTAGATACGCATCATGACTTTTTAATTCTTTATGAAAAAAAAGTTTTTAGAAGGAGATGTAGCTTGATCGCCAAATGATTCACCAGTCCAACATAGTCTCACTCAAACTAATGTTTGCAGCTCTAGGACACCGTGTAGCTTTTAAATAGGAATCCGACATGACGAAATACTACAAGAAAGCCAAAGGTCGGATTTATATAGAAACAATCAACGAACAACATCCAATGAACTACGTGGTCCTGACATGGAACATAAAAATTGACAAAAATAAACGAAATACAAATATGACAGAGAGCAATCAATCACAACCACTGAATCACGGGCTTGGGGTAGGAACATTAAGAATGTTGTCGGTTTAAACATGTTTGTGTACGCTGAACCTTACAACTTGGAACAGTGGTTTAACAGCAAAAAAAGGGCGAAAGATACCAAAGTGAGATTGAAACTCATAAGTCGAAAATATACTGACAACGCCATGGCTAAAAAGAGGGGTCTAAAAATGAAAAAAGATCGACAGACAAATAACGATTTACAAAGCAAAACATAGAAAACTAAAGACTGAGCAACAAGAACCCCACCAACGTTAGAAAAAACTGTAAAAACAAGTTTGAAATGGCTTGACTCATTAGATTGGCACGAAGTACAAAAACTCAACTTACATTAAGACAAAAGAAAAAAAAAGAGAATCTTAGTTTTCTCGCCAAAAAGACCAAGGGAGATATTACCATCACTTTTGGGATCTTTTCGTAAACTCTTATCTATTTATAAATTTTCTCAAAAATAAAAACCAAATCTGATCTACTACATCTATAAATTGTTAACAGTGAAGTTAATTTGACAAGGCAAATTGTGGCTAATATCTTAAAAAAGCAATTAGAGGAGAACAAACCCGTTCACTTTTCCTCGATTGTAATATTGCGAAAGAGAGTTGGCACCGGATGTGTACTTACCATGAGCAACACGACGGGTATACCTTGTGAAACATAATCGACTAATCCTCCTAGAGCACCTAAGATCACCCCGAATTTTGTTGGCGTTCGATTTGCTCAGTCTTTTGTTCTCTATTTAGTGTTTGTTGTTTGTCTTTTCGTCGTTTTCGGGTTTGTTTTTTTGTCAAAGCGTTGCCAGTTTCCATTCGACAATATAATTTTTAATATCTGTTTGGTATCTTCCGCCTATTTTTTTTCGATCGAACATCAGCATGTCTCCCTCATTCATGATTATACTAGCACGCAAAAAAATTATCATCTAAAACATAACATTTCTTCGATCTAACAGAAACCAGATACTGCGTACTGAACTTAGACACGGCTATTCAAAACACAGTTCGCGACACTTAAGCTTGTTGTATGAAATTTACATATAATTCTTTGAATTTTATCCTTTTTTTTTTGCCAGGTTTGGTAAAACAGAACAAAGGTTACAAGTTTTCAGATTTCCACTGGTTGAGTGGTGAACCATTAACTTATACAGCCTGGTAATAAAGTTATTTCTTTTGAATGAAGAGTACAATGATAACCAAACCTTAAAATAGAATTACAAAAATCCCTTTAAAAGAGGTCATATGAAATAACTTTATTTTTTTCGAGCGTCACTGATGAGTCTTTTGTAGACGAGACGCGCGTCTGGCGCAAATACAAAATTTCAATCCTGGTACCTATGATGAGTTTATATGCAATAACAAATATTCGTTTGAAATTCCACAGAGAGCAATCGTATACGTCGTACATTTTTATCACCCGCCCTTAGACTTTATTAAGACGAGTTATCGTTAGAACAATTTATATTCGTATCTGCCAAACAGCAAATATCCTTTAAAAGTTGACGAACAAAACCTTATCTTGTGAGGAAGTAGGAGCGAAATTTTCGAAGAACAATCGTTAATGTGACTATAAGCGCATCAATGTATTCTGTTTAAAATACAAATGTACTTGTTCTTTTTAAATTAAGATGAAGGTTTTTAAAATTTAGGTAAAAACGTGTTTCAGCAATAAATAAAATATAAACAGTATAAAACAGAGATGTGATTACGAAATGTATTAAGATAAATCTGATAGTCTTGTCAGGTTAAGACAATTAGTCGATAGAATACATAAGTAAATTGATAAATCTGAAGAAGAATTACCCAATATTTTGTTTTTCACTTCATTTGATACAATTTAAATGTTTATTTACAAAATAAGAAAATGATAAGTAACTTATCTCAACCATTTCCAATCGATATTTTGTTTGCCATAATGTTTTGCCCTTCCGTGATTGGTGTATACATTTTGTTGATAAAGCTATAAATTTGTTATAAATTCAATTTTTATCAAATATTGATCTGGATTCATGCATAACAATCTTTATATCTCAAAAGCTTACTTATTTTACTGCCCATAACAAGAGTTGACATGAGAAGGAAACGAATGGAAATGATGTATTAATTCAGGACACACATCCCTTTACGCACTTGGGGGGAAAAAAAGTAAAGTAACAGTGCCTTTATTTTTGTTATTCTTAAAGTAACAGTGAGGCTTTAAACACAGAACATAAGCCAGCGCTTCACGAGCATCGTTAGTTTGAGTTCAGAACATAAGCCAGCACTTCACGAGGATCGTTAGTATGAGTTCAGAACATAAGCCAGCACTTCACGAGCATCGTTAGTTGAGTTCAATGCTTTGCGATATGCCGACAATGATACGTCTTTGTAAATAATTACACAGGTGTTTATTAAGTAAGTGATTTCTGGTTTTTGATGAAGCCTATCACGTTTTTTTTTCTTCAATCATACAAATTGCCAAGTACTGCTTTATTTGTATTAAGGTCCAACAACGCGTTAAAAGGTATTTCTCAACCGGATGGATATGAGTACGAACAATGTACGGCAATCATACTGAACAGCATCCATAATAAACAGAGCTGGCATGATGTTCCATGTGCTTATGATAAAATACGATATTTCATGTGCGAGACACAACTGGATACTTATGATAATCAAGGTATAGAATTATAAAATAATTTAAGTAACGACATAAATATCAGACACATAAACACCACTTATCAAAGATCTGATTCTATATCCCTACCTAATTTGAGGTAAGATATTGCTCCACTCCAGAATTTAATTTTCAAATAGATTTTGAAAAAAAAATGTAAAAATGAAAACAACATGTTATAAATATCAGGTAACTACGTTTTGTAAAAAATAATATTTCATTTCCTTATCATATTACAACTTTTTACAGCACCAACAATAAGATAAAAACGGAATATAAAAAAGGACGAACAATCAATAAATATTTCGATAACAATAATTATTCATCAATATAAATAAATGGCAATAGTTGTTTATCGATGATCAAATCTCATAAATCCATAAAGAAGATACAAGACAAGGAAAAGAGCAAAACTAGAGGTAATCGCTAGAACTTCCAAAGGGGTGAAAACTGGTGCGTCGACAGAGCAAGTGTCTCCTGCTATTCATGCATTATCCGCCATGCAAACCCACATTTAGTCAAAATGTCTCAATCCGAAATAAGACACAATCGGTATATTTACAGATCAGGCGACTATTCTAGGAGCCAAAGATCTGTGGCCATGAAAGAATGTCGTTAATGAATCAAGATACAGACATGTTGTATCGGTCAACCAATTAATGATAGTGACCATGAAACTTACATAGTTTCGATTTTAGTCTGTCTTCCTCAACACTCTGTTGAAGAAGTTTTTATGTCAGGGGCACACACGTATTATTTTATAATTGATTATGGATATTTTCAAACTTGGTCCCTTCAACCTTTAGAGTATAAATTATCGAACTTTTATGATTTTAAGATAGATATTAGAAATATTAATATGAATTTTGGATTCCTTTAATTTTTCAATAAGATCCGTACTGAGGTAATCAGCTATCTTTCTCTTTTGCATAAATATATTATCACATGATCTGAAGAGGGACGTTGACTCAAAGTCGTGTATTTGTAGAATCTTTCTCTATCACACTGTGTGCATGTGAAAAAGTTGAACTCATTGAAGAACTTCATAGGTGACCTGTTGTCAGTTTAAATGTATTCCTAACTTATACACCCTTCCTTTTGACAATTCAAGTGCTACAGACAAAACATTATTTTTCATTTCTTCTCGTAGCTAATCTAAACAAAGATCTATTGGGGAGGGGTTGCAGATTGCACTTATATGATGATAAGGGGATGTGGTATGATTGCCACCAGAGACCAAACGATAAGGGCATTTGCGTCTATTTGTCATTGTACGGCCTTAAGCAGTGAGTACAACTCATAATATATATCAAGCTATATCAGGCCCCGGAATGACAAAAGATTACCTAATTCAAACGCAAAAGCAACGGCCTCATGTATGCTAAATAATAAAATAAACACATATATGGCAGATAGCCACCAGCGTCGACCACTGATTTACATTCAACTGACATGCAGTATGCACATACAGAATTATGCGGGATTAAACTGACATGCAATATGCACATACAGAATTATGCGGGATTAAACATGGTTGTGAGCGCTCAATTTCGTTTTGTTACCCACCTGGACAGTGGTGAAACAGCACAACGTAAGAAAAAAAAAATAAAAAATAATTTTGAAAGAGTTTACATCATCAGATCGTTGCATTGTACATTAAATCTAGCTGTCAAACATTAAATATTGTTCAGTACTTAAAAAGAAGTTAGTTGAAGAGTATAATTTTAAGTGATATAGTATGTTGTATTGATAAAATTTGCATACTAATGTTTTATAAATGATTCGTTATTGATGTGTTTTAGACTGATATTTTCTATGAAATGTAACCGAGTCGCTTAGGTCTAAATTGACCGACGCCAACTGAGGATGTAACTTTCAATTTATAAAAATCACTTCGTCGATAACTTATTGGTGAGGAAGGAGGTGCTCTACAAAGAAAATAAAAAGAGATTACAAAGAAAAGTGTTGGGTTAAAAGCTTTGAGTTTCGAAAGCCCAATAACTGTTTGATATCATATAAAAAAGCAAAACAAAAATACAGCAAACATGTTTCGTAGAGGTTCAACATTATTTGAAACCAATTATTTAAAGAACAATTGAAGGTCTTCCAACTTCCAAATTCCAATTTTCTAAAATCAAACTTAATTTAAGATATCCCGGAATGATTACCCTATACCTTGAGGTGTAAGTACTGGCATTTTCCGGTTTAACGAGTCAATCCGTTAGATTAAGTACGTTGTTTACCGATGTTCAAATTTCATAAATCGATCTAGAAGATTTAGCAACAACGAACAAAAAACATAAATAGATCGGATAATTGTATCATATGTTTTAGTTATTTTGTAAAGAACATTACAAGTTATGTTTATACATTATAGGATAGAGAATGGAAACAGGATATTTTTCAAAGAAACAACAAACCGACCAAAGAGCAGAAAACAGCCCAAGGCCACAATGTGTCTTCAACGCAGCGAGAAAATCCTGCACCCGAAGTCGGGCTTCAGCTGACCCTTAAACAAAAAACTATACTAGTTCATCGGAATGGACACCACACTAAACTTCGAAACATACAAAGGAATCTATTTTTTTTTTAAACACACTAGACTAAAAAAACGCTAGCTAACATGTTTTGAGAGATCTCAACCCTATCCCTATACATTATACGAGAGGAGCATAACCCGTATCATGACAACAACTGGTTTTAGAATAAATGTCTTTATTTCCGAGGCAAAGACTCTATAATTGAATCAATATTAGTTCCAAAAAATTTCCTCTTTAATGACTTGACAACAGTATCGTAACTATATCCCTTGCGATAAGTCTGTTTAAAAGTTTGGTTAGCTGTTCAGGTGAATGAAATTTTTGTTCTTTGTATATAATATTACCATAAAAGATGGGATGTGATATACGTAAACGTATGAGATGTCTGCACGTTGATTTATATTTACGAATGATCTCCTTCTACCGATGATAAAATTTAGTAAAAGTTTTGACAAGTTTGTGATATCGAAAACCCTGGTGTAATATTTTTCCAGTAATACAGAGATTTTTTTCGTTAAAATCAAATACCTTTGCTACATACACAAGCGAATCGAACAGGTTGATATATATAAACACCATACGATGGTGCCAAGGGAATATAACCATATCAAAACGGATAATTAACAATCGAAAATGAAAAACCATCCCTTTTATCGTAAATTTTAGTATTAAGCTTCCCGTTAGAGATATATATATCAAGATCAAGGAAAGGGCAGTGTTCATTGATAGTATCAGCTTTATTTTAAATGAATTCAACAGGCAAAATCTCTTTAGTGTACACACTGGCGTCGTCAGTATTGAGAGCCAAAATATCATCTGTCATATTACATTGATTGTTTTAGTATAACGTCCTCCTTCTTTGCATATTTGCATAATTTGAATATAAATGGTTTTATCTTTCAATATCTCTTTTTTCTATTATTGGATAGTTCGTAGATATATATCTTTATCGACATTAGACAGTTTATTGTGTTACCAAATGAAGGATAGATAAATAGTTTGACATATAAATGCTTGCATGTCATGTCACTTTATTTTTTGGCCTAATTATTACTGTATATCGTGCCCGAAATTTTATAAAAAGAGATAAACTATTTTTAATTTCAGTGACAGATGACGAAATAAAAGTACTAGGCGATTCAGGTTCATCATCTTTCAATCATTCCATGTTTACATGTGGAAATGGTGAGATCATATCACAGCTAGCAGCTTGTGATTCTTATAATGATTGTTCTGACAATTCTGACGAAAAACATTGTGGTAAGAAATATGTTTTCAGACTATTCGAAATGTTAAAAATTAAAATGATCATGTGATTGGGTGCATTGAAATTTATGGAATTGATGATGAAAAAACGCTTAGCTTTGAAGATATGTTCAGAAATATTTTTTACCTAATTATATATTTACAACTCTTCAACTGGATTTCCGTAATCGCAAGCTAAATGTCAAAACAACTTTATGACCTGACCACTACGTAATACGCTTGTGAAACCCTCGGGGACGAAACGTCTACAAGCAGTTACTACTATCCCGTCCCCTATTCCCCGAATGTGACCCACCGAATTAGACTAATCACTGGCTTTGTACTAACACTAGCAACAACTCGACGGGTGCCACATGTTGAGCAAGATCTGATTACCCTTCCGGAGCACCTAGGATCATACCCAGTTGTTTGTGTGGTTCGTGTTGCTCAGTCTTTAGTTTTCTATGGTGTGATTTGTGTACTATTTTTTGTCCGTTTGTCTTCTTCATTTTTAACCATGGCGTAGTCAGTTTAATTTTGACTTATGAGTTTGGTATCTTTCGTTTCTCTTTTTCGACTCAGTGGTTGTAAAAATTCAACGGTACTAAGCTCATGATCAAATATAGCAGACGCGCGTTTCGTTTTCATAAGACTCATCACTGGTCCATGAATCAAAACAGTAGAAAGGCCAAGATCAGTTACGAAATTGAAGCGAATTTTTACAATTCTTGATATGACCATCTATGCCTGGGTGTACAAAAACCATGTGTTGCGGGAAAAAAAAGACTACCTTGAGACCAACAACAGGTGAATGACTCGAGAGAAATAATGATAAAAGGTTGAACCTTCTAAAAGGATTTGTGCTTTGTTAGGAGGTATTCAACAGTTTTTGTGTATGACGTCAAATTTTAAGTGACCCTTAGTAGTGGTATTGTTTACAGAAAGATCCTTGTATAAAACTAGATATCACTGGAATTAGCATGTTCTTTAGTTTATTGTGAAATAAAAATAAAGTGGAATGTTATCATAATTAAAACGATTGCCTAATCCCAAAAGAAAAACCTGTGCATAACCATGTATACATGATAAAGGCACATTTCAGATAATCAAAACTATATGAATGTTTACCTGGCTTTTTAAAAAAATCTCATTTCTGGTTATATTTTTGCCTGCTCTAGAAAGAGCTACAGTAGTTACAAATAAGTTTTCAATTTTCAATACTTAAAACGCAGGAAGTTTACAGGGTTGTCTCCCCTTGACATGCGTATATATATTCTTTTTTTTGTATCGTTTTGATCATTCACCTGTCTTAATGTCTTTTCATGTTTTTCTCACTATCAAATACAAAAAAAAAACATGATACTTTTTTATCAACTAAAAGTGAATTTTCCTCAATCGCTATTTCAATTCGGGGAATAAATCCAAGTATTTTATACCAAACTGTTCATATCATCATTTGAATTACATCCACATTCAAATTATTGATATTTTTTTATAACCACGTGAAAGGTAGCATTTTTGGAGATAATGTACTGAGATTTCATAAATTTAATTATAGTTTATTATAAAGAATATTCCTGACTTGGTACTGGCATTTTCAGCAGGCAATGGTTGGTTAAACAGTTTTTAAGCTTAAACATACGTCGACAAAAATGATTTTCCAAAAACTAGAGTAGATATCCTAACTGGTCAGTCCATCAGTCATGCTCATGTTTAATTTTTCAAAACATTTCTTGCTGACAAATAACACAATTCTATTTATAAATCTCATCTTCTACTCAGCCAGAAAGCAAGCTTTACAAATTCTCTCATTTCTTTGAATATTTAAAAACAAAACCAACCTCGAATTGTAGCTTAAGGGCATACGACACAGTTTTGATCACACAGTGATTTTAATTTTTTAGAACATATTCATACAAGCTATTTTTCACCTTGTCAATTCAAATATATAGTAAAATTAACTCTCACCTCACTGCAAATTGAAGACGGGCACTATCACCTTTTTAAGTTCCCTCTTTTTGTTGAAAAGTCCTCTATAGCAAATGGTTACATATCTTATGTAGTTTATTAGCCAAAAATAACTAATTTGCTGGAAATATTCATTTTGGAACATATACAACAAATCGTGTTAAAGGTTGAAGATGTATTAAAATTTTAGAGTTCGGCATAAAAAAAACTATGCATACAAATATTAGCTTATATCTTTGCAGTTAAGTATTGACACTCTCAAATTGGTTTAAATTTTTGTCTTGAAAGTACATTGTTAAAGTTCATCAATATACAGATAGAAACTCTCATACGGGGGGGGGGGGGGGGGGGGGGCAATGTCCAGAAGTTTGGACATAAATTATATTTTTTCTTATTATCACTTAATATTTGTTGCGATGCTATGCCTATTACATAAAATGATTTCATTTTAAGTTTTAGAGGTAAAGAAATTAAGTTTATATTATCAGGTACAGAATGTTCAAGTTCCCAGTATCAATGTGCAGATGGTTCATGTATACATTTAACTTTCTACTGTGACCACATAAATCACTGCAATGATGGATCAGACGAACAACATTGTCGTAAGTTGAATGATTATCCCAAACATAGCAAAATTGTATTGAGATAAACATATGTATACATTTTACGTTCTACTGTGACCACTTAAAACACTGTAAAGATTAAGCAGACGAACAACACTGTCGTAAGTTAAATAATTATCCGAAACATAGCAAAAATAAGAGTGTGAAAAAGTTTAGTTTGCTAATTTCCATGAATGTATGTATGTATGCATGTACATAACTTTGATAAATGTCAAATTGAAAAAGATACAACCCAAGAAATTTTGACATGAAAATGTATCATAATAGATTAAAAGTGTTTGCATATAGGTTATAATATGATGAGTTTTTATCTGTGAAAAAGGACAAAGTTGGTATACCGACCTGTTTGAAATAGCATTTCTTATTTTTGTCTCGCTTGCAAGAAATAGGAATGAAAATCCGGCATCTGCAGAGGTGATGTAAACTATTTGAATAATACTTCATATTTCAGAAGTTAGAATACCTGGTTACGACATATCTTGTATACAGTTGCCTAAAGGTTTGAGGTTTCCCTCTGGTATCAATCGTTGTCCCTGACCTCATTGTTATGTTTACCGACTGCTAAAAATTCTATATTTGTTTTATCTAATGACATTTTTAGTTATTATGAGTAATAGGTAAACTATATTTGGTAAAGGAAATCATTACTAGGTATGCATGTCCTTCATACAAGATTAGCGCCTGACATTAACATCATTTCAAGAACAGTGATCAATGTAAAGATTTTATGATGAGGTCCAATTATCAGATGCCTCAAGCAAAAGGATAACTAAATATTGTGTATATAATGATTAGATAGTGTTCATCTGACCTTGACCTTTTTTCATGATTCATTGGTTAACGTTAAGTTTGGTTTTTTTAAGGTTAGTTTTGTATATAAACAATATATCATTTGTATATATAATGAACTTGAGTTGTACATATCTCACAGGGTTCATTTGACCCTGACCCGATTTTCATGGTTCATTGGTCATTGTTAAGTGTTTGTGATTAAGTTTCTTAGATACTGTTAGCAAAGGTCAAATATATTTCGTTATAAGATAATTATATGGTGTGTATGTCTTTAAAACAGTTAGCATATGCACTTTACCGCAGTTTTATGGTTCGTTGATAATTTATGTGATACATTAGGTAAGACTTTGATGTTAAAGACTTGAAACATAAAATTCAATCATGATCTGACCTCCTCTCATGGTTCATTGGTAAGCCTTTGTAGTTTATTCCATTTTTCTTGTTCATTAAGCAATGCGTTTACTTTGTTTGGTGTTGGAATGATTTTAAGGTGTACCTGATTGTCAGGCAGCTTTCATCTGATAACATTGACTACAAATGTTACTGCACTAGATGACTTATTCCTCATTTTTAATGGTTTGGTCAACTTCTGAGATGCTATAAGTGAAAGCAAGCTTATTTTAGTATTGAATGAATGCAAAGTATACTTGTCTGTCTGACAGGGTTCACATGGCCGTGACAACATTTGCAATGTTCATTAGTCAATGTCAAATTTTCATGTTAAGTTCCATTTATTGGATACTGGACGCAACAGTTTAACTGTATTTGGTGTATGGCACGATTCTTTGCTGTACATGTCTGTCTTACAGAGTTTATTTGACCCTCACCTCTATTCATGGTTCATTCGTTAATGTTTAGGTTTTGTGCTTTGTTCATTTTCTGAGATACTATAATCAATAGCTTAAATGTGTTTGGTGTATTGAATGCGTGCAAGTTGTACAATTCTGTCTTGCAGGGTGCACATTGACCTCGTTTATATGGATCATTGATAATAATAAGTTTGTGCAATAATTATTGTAAAATCTATATAATGAAATCTTTCAACATATAATCATGATGAGTGAAGCAGGCGAGAAATTTTAGCATGTACACTCTTGTTAATCTGCGTTTACAAAAATCTGCATTACTTTTTTATCAATTTGTATTATAGGTTAAAGAATCATATTTTGATTAAGCATTTCAGACTTATTCGTTTATGTAAATCTTTAGTTTACCGCTGTTGACCATAATTATTTTTAACTTTCAAATATCACAATTTTTATTGAACATTTTAACACAGACTATTCCTGATACTACTTGAAAATACTTTAGTGAAATTGTAAATGCAATTTTAAGAGCCTACCTATAGCCTCGTGATGGTAAACAATTTGTAAATTATTTAAAACTTTAGTGGTGTTTTGTTCATATGGACCATAAGGGGTATCACTTTTTTTATGTTATTTGTGATGAGTTGCGGTTACGTATTCATTAGTTTTGCTTCACTAAGTATCGTCTCCAAACATTATACTTTATCTCTGTATTTCATGTGTTTTATTTAGAATGGAGAAGTTGTAAAGACGGAGAATGGAAGTGTGGCAACAAACAATGCATTCCTTCAGCTAATCGCTGTGACGTCACATGCGATTGTTTTGATGGATCAGATGAAATTAATTGTGGTATATACACTAATATGCTTAGCTTTTAGTCAAATCAGAAAAAAAATGAGAAAAGGATAAAATGTTACTTCAAAGGAGGTAAATATTCCCTTTAATACATTTGAAGGAGTAGCATTACTTTTTAAATGGTTACTCTGTGGAAAATCAGAACATCCTAATCATATATTCAAGTTTCTATAAGAATCGATATGATCAGTTATTGCTAACGTAACAAATGAAAAACAATCCAAACGACAAAACTGACGGCCTGATTTATGTACAATAAACAAAAACAAATATGATATACAACAACAAACAACAACACTCCTGACCTGAGACAAAAAGATACAAAAATAATGAATCCTAGACTAATATATCAATTTGTACGCAACCAATGGATTAAGTTCGAAGACGTCCAAGAAAAACAAAATTTTGTGCAATGCCAAAATATAAGTATCGACAAAATAAATGACTGCAAATGTTCATATTCGAAGAGCAATAATATTAAGTTATGATTTGATTTATTGATAACAATTTTTTAACCGATAAAACATTGTTCAAAGATTATATTACAGTGTTAAATTGATAACGTTTTAGATTAATTTTATTCAAAGGTTCTATAAATTTCCATGAATCTATTTAAATTTACGGGCTCTAAAAACAATATCACCGTAAAAATCAGTATGGTTTCCCCCGTTTGTAAAAAAGTTTTCTACAGATACAGCCCAATTTCCAAATCAAATATCTGTATCTTTCAAAGAATTAAATAAAGATGTTATTTATTTTCAAAAATTGATATTCAAATATCCATAGGAATCATATCTGAAAATTCGATGATTTACAGTCTCGAGTAGAACGGGCATTATTGTCTCTTATGACGTCTGATGTAACTGATGTATAATGTAATATAAAACTATTTCTAGATTTTTGTAGGTATACGAAATAATAGGCCGTTCTATGTAAACAAAATAGGGAATTTAAAGTTTTAAATGGTAGAGATATTACATATACTATATAAGTTAATAAAATCAATACCTCTCGTAATATATTTAATTTTATGATCTGCGTACCTTCCGGAGCACCTGAGATAATCCCTGTTTTTGGTTTGGTTCGTTTTGCTCAGACTTTATTATTCTATAATGTGTTTTGTACACTGTTGTTTGTCTTTTGGTCGTTTTGTATGAGTTTGAATATCCCTTTGGTATCATCCGCCTCCCTTTTTCATTTAAAAAAAGTAAAGCTAAACGTTTCAAAATTGTTCTTTAAATTTCTGTTTTTCTTTAACAAAACTTAAAAAAAAACAACGGAAGGAATAGATAAAACTTATACTATCTGAAATATTTAACTGATTCTAAAAAGTACAAAGTTCCAATCGAAACCTGCATTTAATAGCTTTTAAAAGTAGAGTTGTAAAATATTTAGACACTTATATCAATTTGTAGGTAAATATGATGTCAACTGAGATTGAACTAACACATAACCTTCATTTTTACAACTGATTAAAGTCAGTACATGAGCGACAAACAAAGCTTACGGAGGAAAGTAAAAGATGTGATTTTTATCAGTTTTTTCTTTTATATCATATTATCATATATTTAGTACTAAATTCCGAAATTTTGTATATCTAATAAAGGTTCTTTTCTCCAGCCTGTATCATCTACCCTGTATCGCATACCCCGTATCGCATAGCTAAACCCGTATCGCATACCACGTATCGCACTCCTTTTGGAACATCTTAAAATTGTTTCCGGAACTCCTCAGTTGTTATCCGCTTGAAATTTCAGAAGAGGGCAATGATGTTGATCCTCTTTACGCTGCCGGAGGAACACATGCGTCCATATATTTAATTTATGCAATCACTTATTCATTACCGCATCTCTTTCAAATAAAACAACAAAGATTATATTTATTTAGTAGTATAATCTTTTACCGAGGCTTCAATAGGTCTCCAATGTTACGTCATCAGGGCGTGACGTTATATATCAAATAACGTCAAAGTTAGACATATGACGTCCAATTGACGTATTGCTTGGCATGATACGAAATGTAGCCACATTAAATAAGCGTCAGTAAGAGGGCTAAGCAGAAGCCTCTTAGAGGACGGCCATCTAGTTTTGAGGGGCTGTAAACTTTTATGAAGTCTGAATATTTATTTTTAACATAAGGCGGCCAGATTATTTATGTCCACTCAAGCCAGGGCCAGAATATGTATTTTTCTGCTCCTCCCCAAATCACCTTTTTATAAGATACACATACAACTTCAAACAAATAGAGCAGTTAAAATGAAGTCTATATTAATATGAAAATATAATACCATTACAATCGAGGATGGATCAAGAATAGATGGTTGTCCGCTTGTAAATCACGAATCTGATTTTGTTAAAATATATGTTAAACAAATCAATACATGGTGAAATCCGTATCGCATGCTGTATCACCACTCGACCAATATCAGCCCTCGGGACCTACGGCACTCGGGACTGATATTGGTTTCTCGTGGTGATACAGCATGTGATACGGATTCTGCCGTGTATTATTTTATATATACTATCAGCACCGTAACATAATTTATATATATATAATTATAGATATTTCTTTCTCAGAAACTTGTAGTTTAAACAGTTATCAATGTTATGATAAATCATGTATCAGTAAAGATCGTGTATGTGATGCTGTAGCTGATTGTCCTGGAGGATACAAAGAAGACGAATATGAATGCACTGATAGTTTCAAACAGACATCGTGTGAACAATGGTGGATCATCGGAACAAGATTAAACGGGATGTACTTTATAGATCAAGGAACAGAAGGTATATTATTTAACTGCATTCGAAATAATTTTTTATTCTAATATTTATGACCTCAAGACAATTTCATTTTTAAGGGCAGATTTTATTATGAGGACAATGAAAAATAGATTACATTTGATACATGATCAAAGGGAAACATATCCCACAAAATTTTTGATTAATTAGATTAAGAAAAACCAAATGTAGTTGATTGTTTATACAAATGGTGATTTTTTTCAATCATTTTCACTTAACTTTTTGGATTTGCAAACAAAAAGGTATACACTAGCCATGCTATGTTACTTGGGATGTTCATTCTTAATAGCATAGCAGTAATCAAGAAATTTTGAAAAGATTGAGTTGCAAATGGAGATGTGAGAGCTGGTGATTAATAACAATGAAAACAATTGAAGATTTTTGCTAAAACCTATTTACAGTATACAAAGTCAATTCATTATAAGTACCCTCTTAATCTCATGTCATTCTATTTCTCTTGGATAAATCTTATTGGTAATAGAACAACCAAGCAATTCAGAATACAGAATTCAGAATTGCCTAAAATGACTGCTTTCCAATTACAACATTAAAGTACGAGGGTCCAGTTTAAACGAACGATCCATAACACACAAAATAGGGTACATAAGAAATGATTTTAGAGACTGATGTAAAATATGGAGATGTCGTAAGCCAATGGGGTAACGTAGATTGTACCAATTATATGTCAACGTACGGTCTTCAACAATGAGTTAAACCAAACCAATACCGTATAGTCAGTTTTAAAAGGCCCCGATATGACAAAAAGTGAAAAAAAATCACGTGAAAAAGCCAGCGGTCTGAATTATGACAAAACAATGAAAAAAAACCCAGATACGACAAGCAGTGATTTCCGACAACCAATGAATTATATGCTCCTAACGTGGGACATGCACATACAAAGGTGGCATATGAATTATTCAATGGTTCTTTGACTAAGGCTACAACTCCCTCAGGAAAATTGCCCTAAGGTAGTTATGTATTTTCAATAAGGCTCATTTTCTTTTTGAAGCTCCGAATTGTTTTAAGCTTTATGTATTTGTTTTTTATTTACATAACAATTCAGTGGTTATCGTCATATTTGTTTTACGATTATTGTTTTGTACATACATCAGGCCTTTGGTTTTCTAATTTGAAGTGATTTCCATTTTGTCATTTCGGAATTTTTTTTTATAGCTAACTGTATGGTATAGGGTTTCCTCATTTATGAGGAACGTACGTTGACATATGGTTGCTTACATGTAATTCATTCTGGTCGTTTCATCGGCAATTCTACCACATCTTATATTTTACTCGAACAGGAAACTGAAAAAATTCTTTAGTTTATCCAAAATCCAAATTTTCAGTTTTGTTTTCATATTTTTAATCCCTCTAACTTTCTTTTCTTTGACGAATTTCAAATTTATGGTGCCACCATAGTTTTTAATAAAACATATTTCAATTTATTGCCATTTGTCTACTACATTTTCTTTCATTTTTTTCCGATACGTTTCATATGATAAACCTATAGTTTTGATTCGCCACCAGTTTTTTTTCTCCAAAGTAGCCCATTTCTACAATTTATTTGGTTTTGCCGGAAATTTCAGCAGCGAACCTAATGGTTGGGTAACAGAACTTTCCCCAAAAAAAAGTCTACCCGACTTATTCGGTGCAAAATGAAGTGAATGTCATATGATTTGCGTATAATGTAATAACAAATGTAGATTCAAAATAGGACTGAACAAATACAGAATAACTGGAAATTTATTTAATGTCATGTGAAATTTCACTTAATTACGGTTAGACTGGATAACCAAGACAAGAAACAATTAAAACTGAATAACTTGTTGAATTACGTGTAAAGTTAACATACAAATAAATATCTAATACAATATGAATTAAACATAATACAACACACTACAACCTAGACATACAATGACGCACTAAATTTTACACTACAAAAGGTGTGCAATAAATAATTTCAAATAAAATGCGCAAAAAAACGCAACAAAACAAGAAAACAAAAAAATCGTTTGTACGTGCATTTAATCATACTTTACTTAAAAGCATTTAATTATACTATTCATAAGGGGTACTTACTGCTATCTTTGCTTCGACCAGGAAACTCCAAAGGATGAACTACTTCTTTGCACGATTTAATCCGTAGTTTCCAACGAATAACTTATTTCCTTGCATAGACAACATCCTTAAAGGATTACATACTTCTTTACAAGAAAGAACAATAAGTTAAGTCAAGGAGTGCACTGTCGTTTTGATTAGTTTTGAAGGCACTTTTGACTGGAAACTAAACGTGACACCTCCCAGTATACAATAATGTGTTGAATATCAACAGGAATCCCTACCAAACTTAATAATCCATCTTTGTATAGAACTGTTAAACTGGTAAAAAGCTACTGGTACTTACCCATATTTATCCATGAATAAGAAAGCTCGAGAATCCTCCAAAGCCAATACCAGTTCACACATGTTCATGTTAACTGCTAAAAGACATAAACAAGATGTCTTATTATCAATTGAGGGAATTTTCAAAACACGCTGGCCAAATTGTATGGTCTTCGACTACCTACTCAAAAATAACAATGACTATATTGTTCTACGCAACACTTTCCCCTCACTTTAATTGCTTAATTAAACCATTAAATACAGAAAACATATCAGTAACTAGATTCGTTTTACACGTCATTAGAAAAAAAAGAAAACAAAACTAAACACTCGTAGCATAAGTACTTTTACCTAAATTACAAATAATCTAGATTAATTGTGCCTTACGCAAAAGCTGACCTTATGGATACATGCACATCATATTTTAAAACAGCCAAATCAATTTCTGAAAATAACATGTACACAATAAATCACCATTCATGTGCAAATTTGGAAAACAAAAAGCTTTGTTTAAAACTGTTATTTCACTTAATGTTGCTTGATGATCTTTGAATAAACAAAACATTCAATGATATTTTTTCTATCTAAATGCCATCTCGATAAAAAAAAATGTCTGATATGCTATTATCACAAACACTTACATGTACTGTCTTTATTTCGAATTGATTCACAGCTGCAATGAAACGTGATTCTCAAAGACAGTTCTGCATATATAAATCACTAGTTTTCCTCGACCTTGTCTTTAGAGGGTTTGTTGTAGAAAAATTTGATTATTTTATTTTAAACGTTATATACCCAGTGTTTCGACTTAACTACAACAGGCAAAAAAAGTTCTAGCACATTAATATTCAAGATTAAATATTCAATAATAAAACTTTGAAACTCCTTGTGTCTTTTATTCCACGATCAACAACCAGTAAGACAAGCACAAGAAAAAAAATCAAAATCTGACTTTCTCAATTCTTCAATAACCAAAGTAGATACATGTACTTCTTTATAGAAGGGTACAAAAATTTACCACAAAAAAAACCCTTTTTACCAATTTTTGGTATTTCTGTCTACTCTTAATTGTTTACCAATTTAATAATCTTATATAAACAATCTATGTGTTCTCACGCAAGAAACTGCAATATTCTATTTCCTTACAAGAAACTGGATATCTCTTATTTTAACTTATGTTTAGATACCAAGTCTATAATGAATATTTTATATCATCGTGGTGTTTCTAAAGTTAAAGCTACTATACCGCATATTATGCCCAGGAGCTCTGTTTTCGTGCTCGGGGAAGCGGGTTTGTGACTTGATTCATCAGAACCACATCAATCTAGTTGATGTTTCAATTCAATGAAAACTTTTTCTGACTTGCTTTGAATCTGCACCAGCAAAATCATCCAAATCTATTTATTGTCGAGTGAGATTTCACTGAGTGACAAACGTTTTGCAAATCCGCATACCATAAATTGAATGAAAAGTTGCCACTGGGCGTAAAGGAAGTGACAATTATTAATAAACAAATATTAAATTTTCCTTTCGTTACTAAGAAGTAACTCACATCCCAAAGCATTACAGCATTACAAGAAAATAAAGGCTGAAAGCAATAGCTCAGATGTGTTTATATCATTATTGTCTTAAACCTTTAGCCAAAATTTGAAAATACTTATCAATCTATGCTAACATTTTATGAAACATATTTGTAACCATGAATTCTCACATCAACCTTTGTCTTGGCTGACACTGAAATGCTAATAAATTATTGCACTGCAAATAAAGCCATGGTCTGTTCCCAGTTAATGGTCCAAAAGATCAAATATCTTACCGATTGTATCTGACTTTTATTTACAGCTCAATTAATTGATATAATACAAGTCATTATTATGTCAGGCATAACCAAATTATGAATTTCTCGTCGCTTATTCTTTCATTGACGTCTACTGCGCATCTACATTATTAATGTTACAAACAGAAATGTAGCTCATTTTGGTGTAGTGTTTAGTCGACGCTTAATTATGGGGTTAAAGGTAACATGTCACTTGCACATGTGTTTAATCAAGGATTTTGAGGTCATACAAAGAAATGCAACTTTTATAAAAAGCAATTCATTTTTACGTTCCAAAAATATTCGTAAACTGGCCAAATGTAGTAAGCATACAATGACTTCCAGATTAGAAATGCAATTAAAACAAACGCGAGGCAGTCAAATGGACATAACAAATGTATATGGCTTTTTTGCATTTTGAAGATATAGATACCCGAAACACACACACAGAATGAAGATAAAAGACAATAATAAGAGTACAAGGCAAAATAAAAGATAAATAAAACGTTACCCTGTCATTGATTATTGAAGGTAGAAATTTTCCATGCGTCTGTCCATTTATCCGCGTGATTATTATGGGTCGTTTAGGAATGTAGTCATTTTTTTTATCAGATCAGATCAGAAAACATGGAACCAAGAAGTTTACCATTTTTCAGATTTTTTTGTCTGATAGGTAAATGTAAAAATGTGTTAGAAATAAAGAGTAATTATTGAAATCGTACGGAATAAAATCATTATAATATTTACCAAAAAAACAATATTTTGAAAGAATTTGTACCCACTATAATAT